GTTAGAATTAGAGCTAAGGTTAGTGTAATTTATAAAAAATACTTGTCAGTGAAATGAGCTGTTAGTGAAATAATTGTTGGTGAAATGAACTTGTCTGTGAATTGATTGTTGGTGAACTAAGTTGTCTGTGAAGTGATTGTTAGTAAAATAATACATATCCATAATAAACAACATCAATTTTAAAGAAAAAACATTCAGAGCCAGAAATCTGTATGATGATATATGGGATACAGCTCATGCAACTCTATGTATAGTGTTTCAGTTTGAAATGCCTAATATTAATATAGCACTATTAGCTAGTAATGTTGAACTGTGTGGAAAAAATCCATTTGTAGAAAAGTGAATGGAAAATCTTATTTAAATCTTTAGACGGTTAATGGCAGAATATCCGATAAAGTTTACTATGGATAAAATAAACATTGCACTCAAAGAAGCAGTAGAAAGCGGATGCAAGACTTCTCCACCAAACGTCATTATTTTAGAAGCTGGACCTGCTCCAAACAGCAATCTTGCAGTTTATAGAACTTGTGAAATGTATATAAAAGATCTAAATTTGAATCAAGAAGACTCGTTAGATATTGCATATGATGAAGCTATCTTTCGCAGACTTACAGATTATTCCAATAATCAATTAAACCTAAATCCTATCCTTGGTTAGTGGCATACAAGCAAGGATATGTGTAGTGCTTTAATCGTCGCTTTTTCTAGTTATGGATTATTCGAATTAGCATCTACACTTGGCACGAAATTCTTGGAAAAGCTTCAGAATATTGTTGATTACTGAGCAACATTTCACGTTCTTGAGCTTATCTGGGCAGCTGTAGCTATTGTCATTCATATGTATGTGGACAACCATGGCATAACACTAGAAGATATCAAGAATAAAAATAATAATGTTTTGAAAGTTTGGTACCTATATTATCAATGAGCAAGTTGGCTTAAGCTTCATAAAATTAGCATTCGAATGGGTAATTTCAAAGTTCAATATGAAATTTAAAAGCTTTTGCTCCACTATTTCTCATTACTAGAAAAAGTAGATATGCAGAATCAGTACCACGTTTCTTAATAACAATAGAAACAAACCCAATACTAAAAGCAAAACTTCAAGTGGTTGGATCTATAAATCTTACTGCAGATGAAAATTTCTTTGGATTTGATGAAGCACTTGAGTATTTTGGTGTAAAATTCATCAAACAAAATATGACTAGACGTCCAACCGACATAGACAACTTAAAATTAGTAATTAAAGTAGCCCAAAACGAAAAAGATCGATTGATAGCATTGTATACAGAATATGTAACTAACACCTGTTTAAGTAAAACCGTGCGTGCAAAGAATAATCATAAAGAGGCATTATAGTAGCTAGTAAATACACTTTACGAAGCAATTACCTCTAATGAACCTGAAAAGCACCCACTGTTTGAGATCTCTAGTCAACTAACACCTGCTGGATATGAACACATGTTTAATTGTTATAATAAAGGGGTAGTTAGAATCACAAAAATCATTAAACAAGATATTTTTTTTTTTTTTTTTTATTTTTAAACCGATGTCACGGTGCTAACGCTTTATTGTGTTTTTTTTTTTTTTTTTTTAATATTAAAGGTGACCACTTAGGCCATTGGCATGAGCTTTATTTCGGATAGTTACG